GTTCAATTCAATTGAAGATAGGTTCAGTTAATTAGAGATAGGTACAATTCAATTGGAGATAGGTAAAAACAGTTGTACCTAACTTTTATTATTTAAAGATGGGCACAACTGAATTGAACCTATCTCCAATTAATTGTACTTATCTGCAATTGAACTGAACCTATCAGATAGGTGCAATTATTTGGAGATAGTTACAATTATTTGAATATATGTTAATTTGGCGATCTATAGGGTCTGTGATAAGATTTGAGTCAAGTACGCCGACAAGTGAAGTTTGTTCCGGCATTATGGGCAATTTAGTACTAAAACTAACCGCAAAAAAAATCAAAAGTTGTTTGCAAAAATAAAATTATATGGTATGTAACTGGAGAAATATTTTACTATTTGCAGATAATCATGTTTACATGAAATATAAGTGAACAAATTATCTGTTGAAACAAAAGTTGTATATTTGTAAAAATAATGTTGATGGTTTATTCGGAACCTTCCCCTTTTGTAAATTTTCTGCATGTGTTTCATAGCACTTTAGACACTGAATTTTAATTAAGATTGACCTTCAGTATGTCCGATAAGCCCCAATTGGACGATATGACCATATGGTGCAATGATGAATGATTACTTTGTTTGACTTTCCCATCAACTTACTAATTTTTAGATAGATTCTTCCTCACTTCGTTTTTCTAACGAGTGCTTACCAATAGAAAAAAGAGTGTTAACTGAAGGTCAAATTCCTTTACTTTCGTGGTTGTTACTCGGATTATTTCCGAAAGTACAAGGAAAGTGCATTCATTTTTATTTGAGAATAATGTGGTTTTTTCTGCCTCACGTAGTCACCCTTTGACTAGATATTCTGTCTTTCCCAGGTAAAATAGAGCATCGAAGTTTCCCACAGTACTAGAAGTGACTTTTGAAAATCAGTCTCCATGAGTAAAGGGCTAAATTCAAATGTGTTCCTGTGAATGATGGATACTAATCTTCTTGACTGACTGATATACTAGTAAACAGTTAAGCTTGTGATACCTTTTGCCGATAATTACTTGAAATGCGAAGTCAAACAAAATAAACATGTATTGCACCATGGCCCGAATTCGTGAAGCCGTCTTCGTGCTCAAGTATGGATTGTGTGCTCAAGCCTTATTTTGTGTTCCGATTGTAGATCATATTTAAAGCCGAATACTGTTTTCAATGTTCATATTTGACTTTTTGGATCGTTTGACATGATTTAAGTGAGTTACAAGAAAGCTAGTTTGAGCACAGAACCCATGCTTGAGCATGAAAATAGTTTTATGAAAACTGGCCCTGGTGCCGGTCATTTTGTCTGCTTAGGTATCATCAATGGTAAAACGGTCGAAAGAACTCCATGTCAAAAGTTTCCCCGATACATATGCAGAAGTATAGCGAACCGGTAAAGGGTTTTTTGTATACCGGGAAACATTCGCCACTTTCCTTTTTCCTTTTTTTGCCGTCTAAGCCACCAGGGACGTAACCACGACTATGAGTATATGGAAGCATACGAAGCGCGAAGCGCGGAGTAGGGGGTGGGTTTGGGAGGGGGTTACCCCCTCCTGAGTTTGGGGGGTCCGGCGGGGGTTACCCCCCGAGATTTTTTCGGAATCTGGAACCCATTCTGGTGCAGTTTGAGACATAAAATACCTATCATTTTCATATTTGGCTTGTATAATTTTTTTTCAAAGGCGTAATAATTAGTTCCATATGAACAAGGAACATTTTCTTTAAATAGTCAATAAAAGAGACAATATCAATGAGATAATGAATTCACTGAGGGCCCAGGATTATATAAGTTGTTAAAGTTTATCACATAAAGTTCTACAATGTGATCCTTGTTAAAAGTATACTTAAAAAAAATACGTGGAAGCCCGTGCGTACGCCTGGTTACGTCCCTGGCCACGGCCGAATTTATGACGATGGCGACAATTTCCCAAAACTTATCCACCCTAAATATTCATATATATTTGAGGTGCTGTTGGCATTCAATAGGTACATTGTATCTGTACTGACTAATTGACAATCAGTTTAATTTCAAATTTTAATATCTTAACTCATTCACCCCTGAAGACACATTTAATTCTTCCAATTAAAATACACGAAAAGTTCATTATGAAATTTAAGGGGTGAATAAGTTTAATAAAACTGTTAAAATAGTAACATTTATAAGTAATCGCCGATTTAAAAAGATCGGTGTGTTTAGTGACACTGACAGTCTCGACAGAGATGTTGGGTCAGTTCGTGGTGTAGATTTGACAACATATCGGTCACTTAATGCCTGCCATGTCCAATGACGACTGTTAATAATTTGTCCTAATTTTTTGCTACGGCAGATCATGTATTTTGTATCTTCAGCTCTCTGTTTAGTGTGCCGCCAGAACAAAGTCATTGTACAAGGTTATGGCCTTCCTCGGGAACTGGAAGTCCACTAGCAAGTCAACCGCCTCGTAAAGCTAAATAACCACTTGGAATTATAAGAAAGTACCTTTTCAAAATTCCAGAGGAATGAAACAAGCTTCATGGGTCCTTGGATCACACTTTCAGTACAGTTTTTGTCACACGGTTCAAAGGCTTTCAAGGGCGAAGCTCTTTCATGTTTCCCGTATCCCAAGTTTTCGGCGAAACGGGGTCAGTCTTCCTGTTTTAGAACACATATACCGTTTAATTGCATAAAGATTAGCTGAACACATCCGATTTGAAACAATTGATGATTTTTATGATAAACCAATATCAACACAGAAGTTTGAAACGGGTTTTTTGTAGGAAAGAATGCTTGTGAATATGTAAATTCTAGAATACGCCTATATTTCAGTGCTTTTTTCAAGCATCTATTTAAATCCCAAACTTTTTGTAATGATGACGACTTGGCCCAGTGCTTCTAAAGAAGTATCCACCAACGACATTACTAAGATTAATGACTGTATTCTGAAACAAGGGAGATGAATGCAGTTTTCAGCACGAACCAAACGGAAAGGCAAGTACTGCCCCTCCGCTGTGGTAGATGAATAAAAGTATTTCTGCATAATTATTGTTCTTTCTATCAATCCACATATGTACGTGTTTCTGGTTCAAGTGAGATAGCACTATAAAGCCGTCATCAGATCTGCGCTTTCACAAGGAGGCAAGTACACCAACATACCCTGTCTCCGGCACACTAACACAAATGCACGCTTACACAACACACATGGAGGCACGTCCTTAAATGACCTTAGCTGTTAATAGGACGTTTAACAATTCAAAATCAAACCAAACCAATCATATGGTTCTGTTGTTGCAAGGACGTTAAACCCGAAATAAACACAATTAATGACCAGACATTTCATACAAAGTTTGTTTTATCTTATTTACACTGGTTAAAGATGAAACCTTTGCATTTAAACCATTTATGGTGACTTCCTTGTCTTTTCCTTTGCAATCAGCTGGCAGTTATCCTTGTTTTTGGCAGCAAAATAATACAAGAGGCCCCATGGCCTTAGCGGTCACCTGAGTTCTATCATAGGTACTGGTAGCTTTATTTTATTGTTTAGATGTGATGTGGAAATACTTGTCATGTCATCAAAGGATAAGAATTTTAAAATATTGGTAAATGCTCCCTTTGGGGCCCGCCCTAGCCCCTGGAGAGGGGGCAGGAATTCCAATTTTACAATGTTATACCCTCATCCAACAAAGATGGTTCTGACCAAGTTTGAATAATTTTCTGCTGAAAAAGTGTTATTTCCCTATAAAAGCGATAGTAAACTTAACCCCCTCCCCAACGAAGGACGGATGGCTTAGGGGTCCTGAAAATTCACAATTTAAGTAAAGCCCCTGGTGATCTTTCCATCTATGCAGAGAAAATGACTAGTACTGAAGAAGGAGATTTTTGAAATATTGGTTAATTTCCCCTTTAGGGCCCCACCCTGGCCCCATGGGTTGGGGTAGGAATCCCAATTTTACAGCCTCATCTACCAAGGACGATTCTGACCAAGTTTGCAAAAAATCCATCCAATGGTTCTTGAGAAGAAGTTGAAAATGTAAAAAGATTACGCACGACGGACAACGGACGACGACGGACAGAAAGTGATCGGAATAGGTCTTGAAATTGACTTCTGAATCGCGAAGAATTATTTTGTCGATTTCCTTACAAAATAAACATTTTTTAAGAATGAAATTTTACCACAACCTGTTTATTGCATATACCAAAGGAAAAAACAGTTATTTGCTGAAAATAATTCTTATATTTTGCTATGGCTTGAAAAAACACGTATGGCGCAAATTAGTGTAAAAGTGCTTCGTAACTGTTAATCAAGATCGATTTTCTTACAAAGCACAATTTTTTTTAAATGATACTTTACCAAAACATGTTAAATGAGTATACCAATGGAAAAATCGAAATATTTCGTGGATATAACAATTACATTTTGCTATGGCGTGCAAAAACTCATATGGCGTACCTATGGCGCAAATTAGTGTGACGGGCATCTAGAAGCAAAGATACGCATGTTTTTGATATACCGGACGCCAGGTGGCAGTCATTTTGAATTTTCGCGTCTGGTCGAGTTAGCCCACATTTTCAAGAAGTACACCCCAACTCATTTTAATCAGCACCCTCAAATGGACTAAAATCAACTCTCAAACCTTGGTCCGGGAAAAGTGGTCACGGGACCTCATTGTGGGAACTCTACTAAGATGGCAATAGCACACATGAGCAATCAAGTGAACTAAAAACTTAAACCAAAAGTTTTACCCTACTGTAAAGCTTGCCCGAAAACTTTAACCATGTCCAATTCATCTGTTTCTGACCCCTGAAAAATGTGAAACTCAAACACTAAGCAATGCCAATCCTATAAAATTGTAACAATCGGGGG